CTGAGAGGAGAGTACGAGAAGCGTCGCGGGTCAACCCCTTGCGGATACTGATGCTCCAGCACAACACGAACATTCACATTCTCTGGCACCGAACTATGGCGATGCTGTCGATCTGAATCTCCCTGGGGCGACTTGCTCTTGCTTGGAGGTGTGGCAGGCTTCTTAGGTTGGGGCGACGCCGAAGCAGCTTCGATGGCTTTCCCATCATCGGCTGCTTCATACTCTATCAGATTCGGGTTGTTGATCTCGCCTTGTCGCGTACCCTGCAATGGTTAGCTTGGGCCGTGAGACCGTTCAGTAAGCAAACTTACGCGTGTTGGATACACAGTTCCTGGCATCATGACATATTCATCCAACGTATGCATGAGTTTGGCGAAGTTGAAACCAGGTCCTGGCCGGCTTGGAAGGAACCTCTGCCCAATGTCGTGTTCGAAACTGAGCATACAATCTTGATTCGGCATATACTTGGAGAGATTCGTGTACCACTGGGGATATGTGCCGTACCAGGCTCCGACATCCGCGTTCAGATCGACTGACATGTATATATTCTCGCAATCTTCCGGTTTCTGCACGAGTAGGACAAAGTCAAACTCCCGTGGCAGGCCTGACTTCTGAAGCATATTCTCCGTGAGTGTCCAAACAGCCTTGGCGTCTTCGACATCGTACTCTGATCCGTGTGGGCTTCGCTTCGATCGCACGGATCCTTGGATGCTCATCATGTGGAAGACCTTGTAGCTGCTCTTCATAGCTGCTTTCGGGTTCAAGGAAGCAGATACGGGGGCTTGCGATACGCCTAGCGAACTCGATAAGCTGAAGTTCCACTGTAGGTTTTCCGGCGACACGGATCCAAACATCAGCTCTGGCGCATGCTTCAAGATGCGCGGATGCGACGCGCCTGGTTTCCGGGGTGTGTTTGGGTCACCATCATCGCCATGGACGGTGACTTCGATTTCGGCGCTCTTGAAACGATGCGACTCTGGGTCGTGGGGATGAAAGACAAAGTGCACCGACACGAAGAAGAGGTTGTTGATGTCGGGTTCGTGAAGCGCGTTCGACCTGTAGTAGCCATGTTGAAGTCGATTAACATGGGCGGAGATGTACGCGTTCCCGGGTAACCGGCGTTCATAGAGGCATTTCTTGTTGATTTGGAGTCGCTTCCTTGGTATATTCGGATCTTTGGGTGGAGGTTTGACTGTTACTCGACTTCTCTTGACAGGCGGATCAGGTGTTTGCTTTTCAGGTTCGGGTTCGTCGTTCTCTCCCTTGAGATGTCGCATCAAGGAGTGCATCGTAACGTAGAGATATGCCGAAGATGGCGTTCGCTAGACGCGCGGGTTGACGGTCACAGAGTATCAAGATGTGGTGCGTGCCCGCGTTGTCATCGACGCTACCGGTTACGGCGGTATTTCTGGTGAGTCTGGATTTGAGCTTATCATGGCTGCGACGCGATGCGGGAATGTTGAAAAAAGGAGAAGGGACGAAGGCCTGAGACGCGTCAGGTTGGATAGGAGCGAGATAGGTAAGAAGGTTGGTGGCATAGGCCGAATGAGGCGTGGATCTACATGTCTCAGTGGTGCTGGTGTTGAAACCAATAACCCCTACGTCATGCTGAGGTTAGCTCGAACCAACACAGGCACGCGCAGGTTCGCAACACCTGAATGGTCTGGCGAAAGTACATGTGGCTAGAATTGCATCCATCGATGTCGCTGGATGAAGGTTAAGAGCGCGTTGCCGCGGACGTAAGCTTCTTATCAGCGCGCGTCTTTATCGCAAGCGAACCCCGCAGCATGGCCCAAAGAGGTGAGGCCTGTAGCGGTAGAGTCGGTAGAGTCGGACTGGAGGATGGTGGGGATTCAAATACAATCTGGAGACGCGTTGTATCGCTCCAGATCTTGGCTGCTTCTGATTCTACAGTATGCAGTTGTGTCCAAAGGAGGTGTGTAACATGGTGCCGTGTGCGCGTGCGGCCCCTGCTGACCATCGCGTCACAGCTTGACAAGCTCGTCATATCGCAGCTCGGACTCCTTGCGCAACGTCGACTGGCAAGGGGAGTGAAGCTGAACCATGCTGAAGCTACCGTGAGTGCAACATGATATCACGTGGACGCTGCTAATAGTCTCAGGCGTTGATCGCGAACAACCTCCAGGAGGTACGACCTCCGACTTCGCGCGCATCCCCAGTCGCATGCTGAATGCATACAGCTTATCCGCGATGGAAACCACTCAGTCGCCGACCTCATGTCCATTGGCACGACGATGCTGGGTCGTCGCCATGTACAGCCCTCTGTTGTCGCCTCGCTCGGCGAGCTGATGGTTGAAGGCACCTTCCCAACCGGCACGTACCTCGTTACCGTCCACAACCCAGTGTCCACCGACGATGGCGACCTTGAGAAGGCGCTATACGGATCGTTCCTGCCAATTCCGTCGAACGACATGTTTCCGCTACCCGATTCGAGCGTATACGAGAGTACGAAGCAGCCAGGCGCGATCGTGGCTGTCAAGGGAGAGGCTGGTATAATCAAGCTGAACGAGGGGCGCAAGAGGATCAAGCTCAAGGTGAAGAGTATGGGAGATCGGCCAATCCAGGTATGGACATAATCATGCGACCACAGGCATGCGACTCACCAGACATAGGTCGGATCGCATTACCACTTCATCGAGACGAACCCGCAACTTCAATTCGACCGCGTACGAGCTCATGGATACCGCCTCGATATTCCCGCAGGCACATCGGTGCGCTTCGAGCCCGGCGATACCAAGACAGTCACCCTGGTACAGATTGGTGGCAACAAGATCATAAAGGGTGGAAACCAGATCGCCTCGGGCTTCATCGAGGACATGTCGGTCGCAAATGGCATCGTGGAGAGATTGAAGTCTGGCGGCTTCCTTCACGAGCCAGAGCCGCATGGCGACGCTGCACACATCGACATCTGCACCATGGAGCGACTGTCCTATATCAGCATGTTCGGTCCGACGACCGGTGACCTGGTCAGATTAGGCGCCACAGACCTCTGGATTAAGGTCGAGAAGGACATGACCATATACGGCGACGAGTGCGCTTTCGGAGGAGGCAAGACACTAAGAGAAGGCATGGGACAAGCTGGAGGTGTATCAGACAAAGACTCGCTAGATACCGTTATTACAAATGCTTTGATTATCGACTGGTCTGGCATCTACAAAGCGGACATCGGAATCAAAGATGGTATGATCGTTGGTATTGGCAAGGCAGGCAACCCAGACGTGATGGACGGCGTGGATCCCAACCTGATAGTCGGTTCATGTACCGATGTCATCTCTGCTGAGCACAAGATTGTAACGGCAGGTGGTTTCGACTCCCACATTCACTTCATCTGTCCTCAACAAGCACACGAAGCTATAGCATCAGGCATCACTACTATGCTCGGAGGCGGCACAGGACCCAGCACTGGCACAAACGCAACAACCTGCACACCAGGCAAGACGCACATCCGACAAATGCTCCAAGCAATCGACACACTCCCCGTAAACTACGGCATAACAGGAAAAGGCAACGACGCCGAACTCCGCCCCTTGCAACAACAAGCCGAAGCCGGCGTCTGCGGTCTCAAGCTCCACGAAGACTGGGGCAGTACCCCCGCCGCCATCGACGCCTGCCTGACAGTCTGCGACGAATACGACATCCAAACGCTCATCCATACCGACACACTCAACGAATCCGGTTTCGTAGAGTCCACCATCGCCGCCATCAAAGGGCGAACCATCCACACGTACCACACGGAAGGCGCAGGCGGCGGCCACGCCCCCGACATCATCAGCGTCGTCGAACTCGACAACGTGCTGCCTTCGTCTACCAATCCCACTCGCCCTTACACACGCAACACGCTCGACGAGCACCTCGACATGCTAATGGTATGCCACCACCTCTCCCGCAACATCCCCGAAGACGTCGCCTTCGCCGAATCCCGCATCCGCGCCGAAACCATCGCCGCTGAAGACGTGCTGCACGACCTCGGCGCCATATCCATGATGTCCTCTGACTCACAGGCCATGGGCCGCTGCGGCGAAGTCATACTCCGCACGTGGAACACTGCGCATAAGAATAAAGTGCAACGCGGTACGCTCAAGGAAGATGAGGGCACGGACGCGGATAACTTTAGGGTGAAGCGGTATATTAGTAAGTATACTGTTAACCCCGCGATAGCGCAGGGAATGGGTCATCTTGTGGGAAGTGTGGAGGTGGGCAAGGTGGCGGATCTTGTGCTTTGGACGCCGAGGAACTTTGGGGTTAAGCCGAGTTTGGTGGTTAAGAGTGGGTTTTGCTCGTATGCTCAGATGGTATGTTTCTCCCTTCTCCACTTCCTCCTCTTCTTATCTGTGCCTTCCCTTTTCTTCTTTCCCCAGCCGTTCGCCTAACACAACTCAGGGCGATCCCAACGCCTCGATCCCCACCGTCGAACCTATCATCATGCGCCCCATGTTCGCGCCTATGGTACCTTCATCTAGCATCACTTTCGTCTCGCAAGCTTCCATCGCTTCTGGCGTCGTTAAGTCTTATGGCTTGCGCAAGCGCGTTGAGGCCGTCAAGAATTGTAGGAATATCGGCAAGAGGGATATGAAGTTCAATGATACGAAGCCCAAGATGAAGGTCGATCCTGAGAGGTATACGGTCGAGGCGGATGGTATGGTTTGTGAGGCTGAGCCCGCGGAGACGCTGCCGTTGACGCAGGGGTATTTTGTGTATTAGGGAAAGAAATTGAAGAATTAGTTCTGATGTTTAGTAAGGTTGTTCTGCTGTGTAAGTATCCATCTCCTGACAGTGAACGTGGTGTCCGATTGGCTCTCAGAGACAGAGTTTGTTCTTCGATATTCATACGAGCTACTGACTATTCATACAACAAGTAAGACTCAGTCTTAGCCCTAATAGACTGACAAGTACAATAATACGCTTAGAACGCTCAGAAAACAAAGCCTACAAGACTAACCCATAGTCTCCCAGACAGCCACATCAAAGTAACAATACGCTCAATCCCCCCTCATACACACCACCACCTCTTCCTGATGGTCGCCAGCTCGCAAGTCAGCCTTCTCTTTCTTGGTCATCGGACTTCTCTCCCGACTGCCACCCACAGTACTCTGTCTCTTCCGCTTGATCGTTGGCTCAAACTCCTGAGCGTTTGGGTTTAGCATGCCGGAGCCGCTGAGATCGGAGTGTGCTGCGACGCCACCGAGTGCTTGTGCAAGTTCAGGTCCCATGCCTGTGGTGTCGATATGATGTTCAAAGCTGCCGAGTTCTTCGCCAAGGGCACTGTAGAGCTGTCTCTCCAGACGGCCGGTACTGTCTATACTTGACAGTGACACTCCAGTCTTGTGGCAGGGCTTGAATGGAGACAGCTTATTGCTCTCGAAAACAGCATTGGTATTCAGATGGGGGTCGATGGCATCCACATCGATGATCTCCACTACATCAGGGATATTCTTCTGGGCGTTGTGTGAGGATTCGTCTTTATCCTCAAAGATTGGTATATGTGCAGTCCGAGGACCTGAGTTCAACGATGGCAGCAAGCTCTGATCATGGCGCATTGCTTGATCAGATAGCCTCGGTGAGTCGGATGCCAGGCCTTCCTTCCGGCTCCTGATATTCACAGCTGAAGGGCCGTGAGCTGACCCAAACTTAGCAGGCTCAATGGTGGGAGGTGGCGCTTCGCTCCGACTGAACCTATACATACTTGAACGTGCCGGAGATGGGTCTCTCATGGAGATATCTGAGGTATGGGTTGGAAGCCTTTGCGCGAAGGGGTTCGGCGTCGGAACACGGTTCGCGTTTGGAAACGCAGTAGGCAATCGCGATTGCGAAGGCGGGCGATTCTCTTTGTTGCTTGAGAAGGAAGGGTGATTCATCGTAGGCTGTTTGTCATTAATCGCATCGTGGAACCGCTGATTAATTGGTGACTGCTTATTCGATGCGTTCCGTAGGGCATTATTGAAGTCCGAGTATGATGGCTTGCGCGCCATGGCCGCCGACGACGGGCGGTTGATAGGTGGATTGATGTCTGACTTTGGGGGACAGTAGTTGTAAGCAGTCGGTATGCGACCAGTATTCTCATGGCGTTGATTGCCTGATCCATGCGATAGCTCACGATTCTGCTTCGGTGGACTCATAGCTTGGATAATCTGCCCTAGCTGGTCATCTCGAAGAGTGACAACGAGCTGTTTCTCTTTTTCCTTCCTCGGCGGATGATCTTCCCATTCTGTACTCATGCCTTGGTCGTATTGGGACCTGTCAGGCATCCATGGTTGACTTTTCCGTGACAGATGTGAAGAAGCATACATGTAGTCAGGCATGGCCATGTCGCTGGTGGATCCCGACGTTCTTCTTGTTGACCATGTATCCATGCTAACGTCGTCGGCAGAATCCGTAAGGGAGTTGAAATTGTCGTCCCATATACCTGGGCGACCGTTGTTTCTGAAACCTGGAAGTGGCTTTGCGAATTGTGAGATAGGAGGCAGATGCGCATTAGAGCGTCGATTGGGTAAGGGAATCTGCGATCTAGCAAAGGCGGATGCCGATGGATGCGAGATTGGCGACTGCATGTTGATGTCGCCTAGGAAGGGCCGGGCCTTCGGTGTCCGAGAGTTTGTCGGGGACATTTGTGACAGATGCGTGGCTCGCTCGAGCGCATTGGGAAGGTATAGAGGGTTTCGGATAGGCCATGAGATGCCCGCCTGTTCTAAGACATCTGCTCCTTATTATGATCCATGTATGAGGGGTATGAGTTCCTTCGACGTACCTTTTGGAGCATGCTGGAATGAGAAGCAAACAATGTCGTTGGTCGTGCCAAGATCTACCTCTCCAGGACTTGCCGTCTTCATGATCAACTGTTCCGACAGCATTATCTTTATTCGCCCTTGTGGGTCGTGAACATTCCATGAGTTCTGCATGAGGGTCCGTTGGTGGAAGGGCGGGAACTCGAGGCATTGTTTCCGTTGACTTGAAGGATACTCGTTGATGGTGAGTGATCTCTTCTCTTGCGCTACATAGCGTCAGTCCAACGGTGATGCAGCATTGACTTGGGTGGGACATACCAATCTCTTGAGGCCATTTCGACGCTATGTCGAAGAAGCCACGACTATGCTAATCAGCATCGTGGTCCCATGTCCACAGCCCATGGTGTGAAGCTCACAAGACTCTAGCCCCATCAACGACCACCTGAACTGTGTACACAACCTTCTGGTTCGCCCTTCGTCGAGACTCGATCAGTGCCGAGGCTTTCGATGCGGTGGCCCATGAGTGTACGGAGATACGGAACGGTGTGGACGGCGGGAGAGTGCTGATGTAAGAGGTCAAAGTGGGCAACTGGCGGCCATCTACATGCTATCAGTATTGACACCCAAGTATAAGACGTCTGCATGCAGGTGGGGTAGAGCAGGGTACTCACACTCCTCAGTTGAGACATAGCAGGCGGTCTTGAACTCCTGTATCGGTACGTGAGAATCCTTTGGGAAGAGGATCACGTCCCAGTCGTCGTAGCGCATGGCAGGCGTGCGATTGCTGCTGTTCGGGTCCAAAAGAGCAACAAGCAATTGGCAGTTGTGCCGGATCTGTGTTTGTGGAGAGGAGGAAGAAGCCCATTGTTTATGAGGGTTGAGGGCTGAGCGACGGCGGGTACGCCCGAGGTCCAGTGATGAGGAAGGCACGATTGTCACGGCGCAACGTCATGGCGCGAGGCAACTCACATCGTCAAAGGTCCGTGCAAATGCGATGAAGTGTAAATTGTATAAAATGGGCATGACTAGATCAGAACGCATGTTGCCGCATGCTCATGTAGCATCTCTCAAAAAGTCCTTCTACTAAAAACTCACTAACCGTCAGTCTGTGATGTACCTTCCATGGACCTTTGCAGCGACCTTGTACTGAAATCCACTAACCATCAGTCTGCGACGTTTCTTTCGATAGACATCCCCCGAAATACCCACAGCGCACGCAGCAAATCAACGCAAAACCTCGAAAGAAGTGCAATCTTCTAGCAAAGACGCGAACCTCCCGCCACGATAGAAATGAAACAGACTCTTGACGCCTCTTCTTGCTGCATGGGTATACCATATAATTCTTGTTCGCCAGACGCCTCGCTAAAGCATTATGCCTTCATTCCCCAGTTAAAGAATATAGCCACGTCGTGATAATGAAGTTTCATGCCCCAAGAACTCCTTGCTAAAGCGGCAAAACAGTATCTGATATGCGTATAACCAATGCGAGAGCGTACGATGCGCAGTTACTGCGGTGGAGGGAATTGCTGCGAGAAGGCACCGCCAAAGTCGGGCGAGCCGAAGCCGGGGCTGTTGGGGCCGTTGGGCTGGGTGGGGGTGAAACGGTAGTTGTTGAACGTGGGAGTGCCGTTCTGGCCGGCAGGGTTGCCCGTAGGAGCGTTCTGGCTGCCGGGTCGCTGACCACCGAGGCTTGCGTTCATCGACGGCGGGTAAGGAGAAGGCTGGCCAGCCTGGACGGGAAAGTTGCTACACAATGACGTTAGCAATATGTCTAAGGAGGGTAACGAGGTGGTAGACTCTGCGCGTGCCAATAGAACCAACAACAAACTAACAAAGGAAAGATTACAAGGCACTTGGAACAGAACGTTAGACGAATCAACCAAGCCAGCAAGCAAGCACGCAACCAAACACGCAGAAATAGAAGAATCGTGTGATTGGAAATGATGGCCAATCCTGCAAGGAGCAGCGCACAATCGTGAAGAAAAGGCAAGTCGAGAGAAAGCAGCATCCGGCCCATGCATGACTAGCTACATCCCTATGCTCCCAGAAAGATGAGTGGCACGCTTAGAAAGAAAGCCCGAATGGGAGAATAGATGGCCTGTTATACAAAGACTCCCTTCTATGGCCCTCCAGCAAGATGAGTGTCGTGAGAAGAAGTCGAGAACTTTTGGAGAACCGCCCGTTATAGAACTAAAGACCAAATCGCTCGAAATTCGTCATGCCGAGTCATGAAAGGGATCGTTGCAGTAAGCCAACGGGATGAACCATGACAGAAGCGCCGTGCAAGCAATACAGAGGGAAAGAATGCGCTTACTACAGTCGAGTTAGCATCAGACACAAAACCGCAACATGTCTTGTTGACTTACCTTCATCATCGGGCCGTAGCCACCGCCACCGCTGTAGGGGTGTTGCGGGGGCATACCCATGCCTGGGCCGAAGGGAACTGGTGGAGGTGGTGCAGGACGGTAAGGGGTGCCGGCTGGACCGGAGTTGTTCTGGGACCTACCCCAGCTAAGACGGACGCGAGAGTTACCGATGGGGTAGCCTTGCATTTGGTTGATAGCCATCTCGGCAGCGTGGCGCTGAACGAACTGAACGAAGCCGCAACCCTTGCCTGGGGGAATCTTGACGTATGTAATCTCGCCAAAGCCCTGGAAGAAGGAGCGGAGCTCGTCCTCGGTGACGTAGCCGGACAGACCGCCGACGAAGACAGTGGTGTTGTTCGGGTCAGTAAACTGGTTCATCGGCTGGGGTGCACCGTAGTAGCCACCCATGGGAGGAGCGCCCATAGAGTACATGCCCATGCCGGGGCCGCCGCCGCCTTGAGGCATGCCGCCCATTCCGCCGGGACCTCCGGGACCACCGCTCTTGTTCTTGGGTGTGGCGGTGGAGATACGCATGGGGCGGTTGCCGCAGTAGACGCCTTGCATCTCAGTGAGGGCCTTTTGCTGGTCCTCCTCGCTAGCGAACCGGACAAACCCGTAGCCGCGCGACATACCACTAATGGGGTCGGACATGATCTTGGCGGACTTGGTGGACTGGTACTTGTTCTGGAAGAGTTGTACGAGGACGAACTCGGTGACCTCGGGGCCCAAGTCTCCGACGAAGATGCTGAATTCGGGACCACGCTCATCGCGGCTGTTCGAGTCATTAGTGATCACTGTCGTATGTGGGTAGCCGGGTGAGACTTGCCTCCTGTCAGCAAGACCACCGCCAGAGGCCCAGTTCAGCTTGAACGGGCGGTTGGAGTTGGGGATCAGTTGGCCGTTGAGGCTAAGGGCCTTGGACGCAGCATCAGGGCTCGCGAAGTCGACGAAGCAATATCCAGCATTGCTGCTATGCGGTAGTTAGCCTGGAGACTTTTTCCTGTGTGGATTCCGTGCTTACCCGGAGAACTTGTCGCGGATCATCTTGACGTTGACAGTCTCGCCCATGTTGTACCAGATGCTGCGCACGAAGTTCTCGTCGATCCAGGGCTCGAGTTCACCCATCCTGCGTTGTGTTAGCATCGATGTGCCCCACCTAGTGAAAGGCCAGGCCACCCGAGCGCGCATGTCGCCATCTGAGATGCGCAATTCGCAACTCGGGTGCGTCCGCAGACTCACCAGAGAGTCGTCTTGCCCGCACCCTGGCCTTGGCCGTCACCACCAGCGCTGCCTGGCGGGCCCATGTTGCCCTGGGGTGGGAAGCCGTTGCCGGAAGCGTCCATGGGCTGACCCATGTCGCCGGGCTGCGGGGTCTGGTTGTTCATGTCGCCCTGGGGCTGGCCTTGGAATTGGTCGCCGTAGCTGTTGTTGAAAGACATGACTGATAGATCAAGCGGGGTAGTCGATTGAGCTAACGGAGGTGGGGAGTAAGGGTATGAGCTCTAATTATGATAGAGAACCGTAGCGTCGTTTATATAGTCTGCGCAGAAAAAGCAATTGTTAGTTCCGGTGAGTGTGCGCGCAGGAGGTCAGGCAGCGGGAGCAGGGTGAAGGAGCTGGAAGGGTGGCAGGCTGCACTTACCGATTAGATCCGGCTCCTTCTATCACTGCAGTCGCGGAGGCAGTAGAGAGTACAGGCCAAGGAACACGCCTAGGAGATAGTCGGGAAAAGCGGCGACAGTAACTCCAGGTCGCGCACGAAGGAGTGGGTGTGGGTGAGGGAGAGCGAAGGAGTGACCGTGAGGAAGCTCGAACGAAATCTGAGTGGGCGGGTCAGTACCGTAGTTTTCATGTCAGGCATCACATGCGGCGGGCGCACGAGGCCCATGTCACGACAGGTGCTCGCAACACCCACGGCAGTGAGAGCGCGTCGGGATGCGCGACGCTGGCTCGGGCTGGTGGCAGCGCTGCTGCAGGCCGCGCGACCAAGTCCGTGCAGGCGACGACGTCAGTAGGCGATGGACGCACATCGCGTAGCAGACGGGCGGTGGCCGAATTGATTGTGCAGTCCGCAGCTCCCATGCCCCGGTGCACGAAATTGTGCAGTGGGCGGCCCGCCAAGACGAGATGAAAATTGCTCATGAGATATACATACCGAAAAATCTCAAGGACACCGGCGAACTGGAGAAGCAGATGAGATCCAAACACCACAAACGCGAGAAATCGGAGAGGAAAGACGATCGACGACGGCGAGTGTTGGGCAGTGTGGGAGGAAGGTCGGTCGGTGGGCGGGGTCGGTAGAAGAGCGAAGAACTGCAGATGATGTACGGCGCCGAGAATCCGCTAGGATTTACTTCGCTTGGTTTTGGTAGCGATGACTGCGCGAACCTGGGGACGCGGATGGCGTAGACCAGTGCAGGTTTAAGCTTTCGATCGATACAAGGATTGCGCGACCCAAGGATGAAGCGGCTCCATTGCGAGTGGCCCATCGCATCTCGCTACAGAGGCTCAACACGGCTGCCACGCTGGCATCGACCAGATGAAGAACGGTGCCGGCTGCGTGCGATCTGCTCTGCGTTATTAATAGGCGACCCACCCCTGGCCGCGTAGATGACTTGCAGCCAGAAGTCGTCACCGGGCTTTCGCAATGTGCGGGGCGGTGCCTCACCGAGAGCCTCTGCAGTCTGCAGCCTTTCCAATCCATATCTCACCCATGCTCGCGCCGCATCGCTGGACTCTGTACTCAAGCCGCGCAGTTTTGCGCCGGTCGAATCACACACCTGTACCGCCATGGACCCCTCCATCCTCTCTCAGTGGTCCCACCGCCTGCAGCTAGACGGCCGGCCGCTGAGGCCTGCATCCAACCAGCTCGACAGACACATATCACGACCGTTGTGCGCTTGGAACACGTACACCAGACTGAGGAATATCAAATACAATGTTGTAATGTCTTCTATCATTCGTAGTGGTATCTTAGTAAGCAGATTCCTATTCTATCCTACATCGCCTGGCCAGGGACCTTCTCTGGGATGCCAGCAGCAGCCTTGGCCTCACCCAGCTGCTCACGGCCCTCGGCGAACACCTTGTCGAAGTCGTACTCGAACCATCTGATATCCGGGTTCAGTCCAGCAAACTTCCACTCGCCGTCGATCTTCTTGTACCAGTGCGTGTTGAAGCTGTGGGCATGGCCCTTGACGGCAACCTTGGTGCGGGACTCATCGGTGTACCTCTGATGGGGCACACGGAGCTGGTGGTACCCGGTAATCTCGTCCTCTGCAGTCTTCTCCCACCGCGTGCCGCCGATGAAGTGCTGTGTCTTGAGGAGAGGGTTGCCTAGTACGTTGGGGTCCGAGGCCATGGCGACGAACTCGTCTGCAGGCATGGCTTCCCAGATCTTGTCGAGGAAGGATCGGTAGTCGATCTTCAATGTGGGGGCGATGCATTTGCTAAGACGGTCCCAGTCCTGCGATGTGTAAGTGATTATCACTGAGCAGCGGTGCATGTCGACCGACCTTGCTATCGTAGCTGTCTGCCCACTCATAGCACGCCGACTGGCAACCCATAACGTCTGAGATTGTTAGTCATGCTCGCAAGAGACCGCAGAGAGGACCAACCATCGAACGTCGGCTTCAATTCGTTCTTCTCAAACATGATGACTTTTGTTCCTGGTGGTTCTGGTAGGCGAAAGTGTTACTGTTATAGTATGATATTGCAATTATATCTCCTCCCATCGTTCCCTTCGTCTTTATATCTGTCGTGCTCCATATTCCAGCACTTCTATTTGCGTCCCCTTCTGCGACGTTTGGCTTCGGGTCCCCGCCCAACGGGGTTCCGCCATCCGCATACTCGAGACTGCCGGTGCGGTGCCAGCGGTCGCGAAACGGGGCCGAGTACATTTCTGGACTCGGAGGTCCCTATGTTTCGACACTGCCGACATGTTTCTACACTAGGATAGTGGAGTTACGTCGAAGATGTGCTGCAGGGCAGTTGCTGCCGCGACCCCTCGCGGGAGAGAGAAGGCGCACGGGCCACTGAAACACCAAACCTTCCGATGGTGCGCCGTGGCTTCAAACTTCCTTCATCTCCAGATATAGCAGTCGCGACAGATCGCGCGTCGACCCAGTTTTAATACTTGAGGAAGAGTCAGCGCCTTCAGTTCAAGCTTGATGATGCTGCGGTGACGCACCAGACAGCACTCCAGCGAACAACGACGTCAGAGCTATCGCAACCATACCGTATACCAAAGCACCGTCTCAATGACCAGCTCGTACCAGGACTAGACGGCAGTCTAAGTTAAAGGCGCACCTCATACAAGAAAAAAACCGAACAGGCCTACAGACTACATCAAGACAAAGACTTGCAAAGTAGGTGGCCCAAGGTCAACGTAGGCTCCAGGGTGTTTGTTTTTTCCTAGGCTGGCGTGGGCGCGCTCTATTCATTCAGGCTTGATGAGTCTCGCTGCTGAACGATAGAAAAACCGCTTCGCCTAAATTGCCTACTTCGCCAACCATGTCTCGCGAACAGACCAGGTTGACCCCCAAAGTTTGCGATCATTCAACCACCTCCAATCCTGCTTGGAAGATCATCATGAATTGATCACCCAGACGCCGTTCAGAGCGGCTGCTCGTTCTCTCTTCGCGCTTAAGGGATATATTTGGCGATGGGTAGAGTTGTTTGCGCGCGGCATCAATCTCAGACCCCAGCATGCAGTGTGATCACAGAAAGCGAGCCAATCGTCTACCCAGCGCTTCTGCATCTGTACGGAGCACTCAACGCGATCCTACAATGATGTTGAGAATAAATTGTTGCAGCGCGCTCTCTCTGAGAGCATAAAACGAGCTTCGCGCAAACTTGCCTCATCTCTCTGAATTCTTCGTACCGATCGTGCTCGTGGCAGTTTTGTTTCCCTTACCTATCGCTTCCACGCCAACCTAGGAAAGAACTGAACAGCCTGGAGCCTACATTGGCGCTGGGTTACCGCCTTTGCAAGCTTTTGGCTTAATGTAGCCTGCAGACCTGTTCAGTTTTTTTTCTTGTATAAGGTGCTTCACTTGCCTCACGACTACTGTCCAGTGGAGTTCCGGAATATCCAGCCAAACTCGTATTCTCCCAACAGACTCGAGATGACAGAGATACTCAGGTGGACACCGCCATCCTGGTGGGGCGGGGATGGCAATACGAAGCCTCTTCCTGCGAAAGGCATGCGTATCTTTGCGTCGCGTCAATTTGGTGGTGATCGTGTCAAACGAGTCAGTTCCGCTTACGCAAAAGCGAAGAAATGCAAAGTATGCAACTACAATGAGTGGCCTACTATTGCAGGAGGAGTCACTGTTGGCGTTCTGATAACGTCGGCTGACAAGGGATGTGCCGGCTGCTTGATACTATGCGGGATTGTACACAAATGTGCCTTGGTCTCCAAAAGCTCAAGCCGACCATTCGAGCTCGGCTTGGATCAAAGGGTATCATGCAGAGTGGAACGGTCACGACTCATCTTGGAATGCTACCCAGATGCGTCATGGGAGGTTTTCGATCCACAAGGTAAGTTTTTGATGGCTGCAGTTATTCATCACGAATTAATGTCTCCAGGTCGCAACAATCCATGGCGACTACCACGTCTTTCCCATGAAGCCGTTTCAGACTCCGGCTCTGATGAAGCTGTTCAACGAGTCTCTTCGTGGTTACGAGAATGCAATCATAGCCATGAGTTGTGCAGGGGCGCTAACTCGAGCCTGCCGACACGCGTTGTTCTGATCCAAGATCCAGAGAACATAAAGCTGTACGAGACCCGCGGCGAAGTCAAGCCCTATATTTGTCTCAGTCACTGCTGGGGGAAGGGTACAATTAGGAAGACTACGACAGCCACCTTGACCGAACACAAGCGAAGAATCCCTTCGGAGAAACTCCCTCAGACATTCCAGGATGCCATCTCCTTCGCCTATCGGTTGGGATTCGAGTATCTGTGGATCGACAGTCTCTGCATCATACAAGACAGCCGCGAGGACTGGCAAAGGGAAGGCAGCAGAATGGCAGAGATATATTCTGGTGCCGACTTTACTATTGCTGCCACCGACGCAAATATTCCATTGCAAGGCTGTTTCCGCAAACATCCGGAGCGCCCTGTCAGCAAGTCTTCGTATCCGGACAGGAATGGCTCCATGTTGGACGTTAGCGTTCGGTCCAGTATAAACCATTATGCTTGGAAGTACGGCGAATATCCATTACTGCGCCGTGGCTGGACGCTACAAGAATGCCTACTCTCACGCAGAGTGGTACATTTCACAGCCGAAGAGATGTTCTGGGCATGTAGGACGGAGAACAAATGCGAGTGCTCGTTTTGGTGGGACTCCACAACATTGCCTTTCAAAAACTTGCGCAGCCCCAAGTATCTCAACACGATACGTCACTCTGATCCGGCGGAGTGCATAGATTTGTGGCAGGGTATTGTTACCGAATACACCAGTTCGAGCTTGACGTACGAAACCGACTGCTTCCCAGCTTTGCAGGGAGTTAGCAAAGAGTTGTGTCGAATGAAGAAGTCCGCCTATATAGCTGGATTATGGGAGAGCAGTATCATGTATGACTTACTGTGGTACTCCGACCACAAGGACAAGTCATCGACACCAACAGCATGGCGCGCACCATCATGGTCATGGGGATCCATCGTAGGGCGAGTCGTATGGGCAAAGTGGCTTTCAGAGGCTACGCCTTTATCGACTTGCATTGCGAAAGAAATCGTCCCTGCGAGAGGAGGAGACGGATACGGGGAACTGTTATCAGCGAAGATCACTCTACGGGGCCGCTGTTTGCTCAGCAACGTGGAAGGCACACATCAGCCCTTCGCATCACCCGAAGAAGCAATCAAATACCCAGACCATCGCGCTTGGAGAAAGTGTCCGCGCAGAATTTACCTCGATCATCCACCGGAATCGGTACATCCGGACAGCAACAGCCCTGTCACGCCTATTGAACAGGTCAAAACCCTGTCCATGGGCGTGTTCCAAGCTGGTGAGAGGTATCTCTTTGCCATGTTGATATTGCAGAAAATGAACAAGGCAGCTGGTACGTACAGGCGGATTGGTTACATGGAACTCGAGACACGCAAGGGTCTTGATATATCCAGTCTTCCGGTGGGTAACGAGGAGACTTTACACATTGTCTAGTGGCATGACAGATGCTTGGAAAGACATCTCATGTAGTCTTCTTGTGCAGAAACAGTCGTGTCAACATACACGAAGGCAGCTGGTCTGTCTTCAGGCGACGTGAGATAGCTCGCGTCTTTTATGAAATCAGAATGGGGAGTGTATGCATAGAAACATGACTTGACATCAAATGATCCCTCGTTCATCAGGTGCGACGTATTCAATTAATAGCAATATAAAGAAATAGGGTGGTATCAGTATCATGCGGATCCCCAAACGCCAAATCCAAAGTACAAAACAACGCCAAAGACAGGTCGGACTGGACATCAACCGCTCCTCTTGATGCTTTTTGGTATCACCGCAATGCTTCATGCCACCCCCAGGCTTCAACCACGAACGCCACGCCACATACCCCTCAACTCCACTACGCCTTCACATTCACCTCAGCTACTTATACTGCGGTACGCCCTGCGGTGGCGGCCCATATCCCGGCGGACCACCATGCGGCGGCCCCTGCCCACCATACGCATTCATCGGCATCGCTCCTCCTTGCACTTTTGTCCCACCACCAAATTGCTGGAGTTCCGGCTCAGGCCGATACTTGATGTCCTGCCAGAAATGGCACACATGGCACCCGACTTCCTTGTACGGCTTGAGGCTGAATGGGATAACGGGGATGAAGCAGAAGGTAAACCATTCCCAGCGCTTCATTACGCGACCCGTGGGGTTGCGGCAGTTTTGGCAGACGAGTTGGATGTTTTCGGCGCCTTTGAGGGCGGATGTGAAGGCTGGGGGGATGTTAGTGAGAGGACCGAGAGGGATGGGGGGAGGTGGTGTGGGCAAGGGATTGGGCGGGAAGGGACTGGGTGTTAGGGAGGAGACGTACTGTGCGTTCCGCAGGTGAAGAAGAAGAACATGATCGCGTGTTATATGCGCGTGTAGCGCAGTACTCGTTGTGATACGTGTATCTCCCTATTCGGGGGCGGATGTCTCGTCGCGGTTGGGTCGGTGGAACGATGCGCGTGCGACAAGTGGTACGGAAGTTACGCGTTCGGTCGTTGGGTGTTGTTCGTATGTGCTACTCGTGTGTGATTGGGCGTGATAATGAGGTTATGTAGTGTTGCGAAGTTTATCTGGAAGGGTGTGGAGTTAAGTGGAATGTGTTGCGATGGGAGGCGTGGGTTTCTGGTCGCTGGTAGAAGACCATTGGCGCCGAGGAAGCTGCGTCATCATCGATGCGTCTCAGCCACACCTGGCGCTTGGCTTGGGGATCCATGGGGCTAGCGGCATTCCCCGCGGCGCTTGTTACATGTATCTCCACGTGCCTAGCTACGTACTTCAGACGTGTCGATACTTTGGAAGATTAATCATTGCGTTGCGCAAAACGTAGAGTGCAGGAGCGGAAGCGTTGGGATATTGTTGAAGTGGATGTGGCGGAGGAGTTGATCGACGGCTAGCTCTTACCTGAAGAGGATTGCTGCGCCCGCATCGTGATTCGCAGTGTATGTCAGTCACCTGATCAGAATCGCGAGGCACATCACAGATAGCTGATGGGTTTTGAATATCAACTCTTCATTATGGTATCGAGCGGTAGCCTCTGAAGCCACTCTGGTGGAAAAGAGACTCGTGACAGTCATTAAGAGTAGGATAGTACGAGCCCATCATTATCCTTCACATGTCATCACCGATGAACCGCAGAGCCCATAGACCTCCGTTGAAGGAGATATCCACACTGTGGGAGTGAGGCAAGGTCTCCCCATCTGGAAAGAGACCTAATGCTGGCTCCACGAAGAAGACCTGAGTAGAGAGGATGGATGAGACCCTCAGAGGTCACGGGCGCCTTGGTCCAATCGCATTCGTCTACTGAGTCTTGAAGAGCAAGATAGCACAGTGGCCGAGGTAGAAGTAGATGAAATGCTTCGTCTCTGTAGTCCAGTCAGCCATCGTTGTATGAAATGTCTCAATACGATAGTTCAGCTTACCATGCGTGACAAAGCTTCCAAAGTTGCGGCCGACGATGCAGTGCCATGTGGCACCCTTCCGGCTGTCGAACTGCGCAAATATTAGCGCGCGCTTCCAACAGCCCTGGGTGTGGTGATCTTACCTCTTTCTTGATGTACTGGGCAATGTCCTACAAGGCGAAAGTCAGTACGGCCCTAAAATGGTCTCGGCCTGAGCGGATAGTGAAGTCCCACCTTCTCGATAGTGAACTGCTCCATAGCCGTTTGTGCTACAACATGTCAGCGTATCCGTCGAGGTATGTCGAAAGCAGTTGACTTACCGACTTCAATGGCCTCTTGTTGCATCTCGTCGCTCTGTCACACATGTCAATATGGATCCGGAAGCAGCAGCCTAGCTATCCCGTACCATGTCTGCAGACTTGATTTGAGCTGCATACTGCGTTAGCTTGTACTTTGGCAGACGTGTTGACGGGAACAAGGGGTCTTACCATCCTGCTTGTGGGCATCTGACTTGTCGCTGGCCATGGTGTTGATCTGTATGTGTATCAAAGGTTGAGTGGTTTGGTGTAGCTTCCTTCAAAGTAGGCGAGCTCTTATAATGCGCGTGGTTGAGCGAGGCTTGTCCAGGGCCTTGTCATGATGTTTGAGCAGGCGCTCGCGGCGGTCTGCGCTCGGGCCTTCCCCGTGAGCCTAATGCGCGCTAGTGGGCTGCCGGCCCATGCGTCGTTCACTTTTTTCTTCAGAACGCGACACTGACATCCACTGCTCCTTCCACGACACCACAACCCGGGCAGGCAAGACTCTTACAGCATGGAGTCGTCACGCATCTTCGTGAGGAATTTGCCCTCTCACTTCACCGAAGATGACGTGCGGAAACACTTTGCCAAGTTTCCCATCACTGACGTAAAGTTCTTCAACCACCGACGCATCGGCTACGTTGGCTACAAAACGCCCGAAGATGCTGCAAAGGCTGTCAAGTACTTCAACAAGACCTTCATCAAGCTCACCAAGATCTACGCAGAGATTGCGCGACCTGTATGTACTTTGCGACCACGATGGCGACAAGCGGGGCTAACATGCGCAGATCGCCGACAAGGAACTGCCAAAGTCACGCCGGCAGCAGAAACTCGAGAAGAGCGCCCCAGTAAGCGACGAGTACCGACCGGAACGCCAAGAGAACGACCTCAAGCGAAAACGAGAGGAAGCCGAGCAGGACCCGAAGCTGAAGGAGTTCTTGGAGGTCTATCAGCCGCCGTCTAAGACCAGCATCTGGGCCAATGGCGATACCCAGCTCAATGAAGCACCTGTCGCAGCCGCTGAAGAGGCTGTACCGGCGATTGCTGTACCAGAGGACGAGAGCGACGATGAATATCAAGTCATCTCGAAGAAGCCAAAGATTGCTGAAGAGCCTGCGACCGGGCCAGCCCCAGCAGCCTCACAGCCGACGTCCGCTGAACCAAGCGCAGCAGCGATTCAATCAGAAGCTGTAGAGGGTGATGACGCGATGGAGGACGGACAAGTAGCGCCAGCCGTCGAACAAGGACCTGTTACGGATGAGGACTGGCTGCGGTCGAGAACAAACAGGGTTTTGGAGCTCGTGGAAGATGATGAAATGCCATCAGCTAGCACGGCTCCTGCCGCTGTAGCACCGAAACCAGCTGCCCAACCACGCACACCTGCTGAGCCTTCACCGGCCGTTGCCGACGCACAGCCAGAGCCACAACCCCCGGCGGAAGAGCAGACCGACACTGCTGCTGCCCCTGACGAGGAGGACAAGATCCGCGAGACTGGTCGACTATACCTCAGAAATCTGCACTACGAGGTGACAGAGGATGAGATTAAGGAACAGTTCTCCAAGCACGGAGCTCTCGAGGAAGTAAGTCATGATACATCTCTTTTTTTACCCGCCCATGCAATGATGAACATCAAGATAGGGACAACTGATGCTTCGGCACCTGAGGTTACCTTGGAAAGTATTTTAGTAGATGTCTTTCTTATCTGATAGCGGCAACCACCCCTTGGTTATACATGTACATTTGTACGAACAGTTGCTGACTAGGACAGGTCCATGTGCCGTTGAAGAAGGCGGACGGCAAGGGTAAAGGTTTCGCCTTTGTGCAATTCCAGAACCCGAACGATGCAGTGGAAGCTTACCTTGACAACGACAACACCATCTTCCAGGGACGCCTCCTTCACATCATCTCCGCGAAGGCGAAGAAGGATACCAAACTCGACGACTACGAGATCTCGAAGCTGCCTCTCAAGAAGCAGAAGGAGATCAGGAGGAAACAACAGGCAGTCAAGGCCACGTTCAACTGGAACTCGCTCTACCTTAATGCTGATGCAGTCATGTCCACCATCGCAAGTCGCATGGGCATCAGCAAGGGTGAGCTGCTCGACCCCACTTCGTCAGACGCTGCAGTCAGGCAGGCGCATGCCGAGACACACATCATCCAAGAGACCAAGTCTTACTTTGCGCAGCATGGTGTCGACCTAGAGGCCTTTCAACGCAGCGCTAAAGGCGACCTTGCTATCCTCGTCAAGAACGTACCCCACACTGTGACGGCCGATGAGCTTCGAAAACTGTTCGAGGAGCACGGCAAGGTGACCAAGTTCCTGATGCCACCGACAGGTATGACAGCCATTGTCGAGTTCTCCAACGTCGCGGAAGCAAAGACTGCCTTCATGTCGCTGTCGTATCGGAAGATGAAAGACTCAATTCTGTACCTGGAAAAGGCCCCCAAGGATCTGTTCAAGGAAGGTGTAGCAACCAACTTTGTGCAGACCACGCCGTCCGTCCAGCCTTTGCAGTCCTCACAGCCTGGTGTGAAGCTTTCTGCAACCGACCTGCTCGTGGACGATCCTGAGCCCGAGGCTACAAACACCGCCACTTTGTACGTGCGCAACTTGAACTTCTCCACCTCAACTGAGCGTCTCACGGAGGCGTTCAAACCTCTGGCAGGTTTCCGGAGTGCCACTGTCAAGACCAAGACCGACCCCAAGCGAGGCGTGCTGTCCATGGGCTTTGGTTTCGTCGAATTCAACAGTCCAGAGACTGCTACTGCAGCTTTGCGAGCCATGGATGGACACGATCTCGAAGGGCACAAGCTTCTCATCAAAGCTTCCCACAAGGGCGCCGATGCTGCCGAGGAACGCCGCAACGAGGATGCAGCAAAGAAGGCGGCAAGCACGAAGATTCTCATCAAGAACTTGCCGTTCGAAGCCAGCAAAAAGGATGTTCGTGCTCTGTTCACTCCTTACGGTCAGCTTCGATCCGTACGAGTACCCAAGAAGTTCGACGCTTCCTCACGTGGTTTCGGTTTCGCAGAGTTCACCACCAAACGCGATGCTGTCAACGCCATGAACGCATTGAAGAACACACATTTGTTGGGCCGTCGCTTGGTCCTTGCATTTGCTGAAACGGAGTCTGATGATCCAGAGAAGGAGCTGGAGAAGATGCAACAGAAGGTGGGAGCACAGGCCAACAAGGTCGCCTTGCAACGCCTTACAGAAGGTGGTCGCAAGAAGTTTAACGTTGCAGGCACCGATGATCTAGACGACTGAGCGCAAGAGTATTCCGATAGGAGTTGCGCGCGCGACACCGTCATACCTTGACGCTATCCCTTGCTCCCCGGCCACACAAGCTAGGCCGCCCTTTGCCGCGGTCCGTAGGAAGTAGTAGGGGTGCTTTGACCTGCTGCACGACGCTATATCTAGAACACCGTTTTCTAAGCTTCGACAGGGTATATCGCCAGTGGATTACATCAATGGGCATGGCCACCACACGGCGTTTCAGACTACTCCAAAGGGAGTAAAGAAGCCATGAACGAGACATTTGTCGATCATGCAGACTTGACGTAGTTTGTTGTTTGCGGATACTGACCTCTATCCTTGCTTTGAGCAGTCCGTGATGGCTCTGTTCGCCTATGGCCAATCAGGTGACTGTCGAACAGATGGCAGTTTGACTCCATGCCCTTGATCACTCTGCTAACCACGCTACATTTACCATTACAACAGCAAAGGTTTCACGAGAGATGTGATCAATGGCCAAAAGTCGAACTGGGACTCTTTGGAGGCCATGATGAAGGCACGACGCACTCCAATCTTAATCTTGTGGTACTGGACTGTCACCCCGATGACTGGCCCCTCTATCAATTTCCGGCTAGCGGAAGTCGTATTGCACCCTACGGTCGGTGCTATGGCCTACGTGCCTATCATGTAGTCCTCCTGCCTAGGGCCCGTCATCTGGACCATACTTTATCAATGCAATCATCTGCAAACCTCGCCGCATACCCAGCTACATTCTCGTCTTCGTTCACCACGCTCGTTGCTTCAACTGCTCAACATTCATTGCTTTGTACTTCAAATCTCATTCATACTTACCATCGCTGGTTTCATATTCTGAGGTTTGCATGCCATAGCCGCCATGCAGGTCCAGTCACCCCAGCCCTTGTCCAGGCTGTCGGCGGACATTCCCCTCTTGGAAGGTACTCCGGTCGATGGATCGCCACAACATCGAGACGTCCTCCAGGAGCGTTACGCTGCGCAGTCTCACAACACTCATAGCAGTACAGCTTCGCCACAAGTGGGACAAAGAAGCAGTCTCAGCCCCTCCGACAGCTCTCACGCACAGCGGAGCGTCGCCACAGGAAACTATTACACCGGCAATGTACACGCACAACACATTGGATTGGCAGGCTTCGGCGTCGAGAGGTCGGAAAAGCAGATCAGATGCGAGCTCGGGCGATTATACAAGCTGCTTCAGCGGTCAGAGAAGTACCAGACATATCGCGAAAAGCAACCAGCTCTCACACCGGCTGAAGTCGTCGCGAGAGACGCTGCAGAGAGAAAAGAGCAGGAAAAGAGAAAGGCACAGGGACTACAGCAAGAAAAGGACAAGACTGTCTGGCCTGACTTCTTAGAACAAGCCTTCTGGACGGGTAAGTCTTCATTTCCATTACACCGCATCTCGCAGTACGTCTGTCTCACTGCGTACGTTTTCCACTTCGATTCTCCCACCACCTATGATTACCCAGCTTCACGATTCCAGCCCAACATCTGACAAACATTGCACAGCACTCGTACGATGGCCGCCAATGGGTCGGAAGAAATACATGCTTGAAGGCACGCAGCGAGGGCGGAATGAGCTGATCCAGGATTCTATTTACAGAGACACCGGTATCAGACGCGATCGCAAACAGGTTTCCAGCCATCTCCAGGTCCTGAAGGACAAGCTCAGAGGTGTTCCTGCTGGTGAGTGCCCGTCTCGTACATCGTGTAACGATCGGCATCAGCCTCTTCTCATTCGCCCATATGATCGGGGCGGCGGTCCCGCATGCGTCGATCCAGTTTCAAGTCATCAGAGCATTCCTATCTTCCAAAGTTCTTCTAGAAGGCAGTGGCGGTGGCTTCGCGGTTGCTATTCCTGGTGTGATTGGGAGGGTTCCGCTAGGGACTACCAAAATGAGACTAACCTGCGCGACAGTCCTACTCTACATGGCCACACCAGAGGACGTCTCTAAGCGCCGATCTACGAATACATCCGCCCGATCATCCTATTCGTCACAGCTGCATGGCCGCCAACATGCGCAGCGCACAGAGTCTGTTACCAAGTCCGATTCCAGTACCTCCTCGCCGCACGTTTTGCCGCATTGTAGCGGCCCACAATCCGACCTCGCCCTGGGTTCCGGCCCGGATTCTGATGCGCTGTCTTCTTCATTCGCAGTCACAGGCTTCAAGATCCTCCTTGAGGGTGATCATCAGCCCATGCACTGTTTGGCTCAACCACAATCGCATGGCAGGCTCGATAGCTCGGATGTTGTAGATCATGCCTCTTGGCGCCATCAATACCGCGAGTTTGACTTCCTCCGATCCGAGACCGAGGAATGGATAGAGAACGATCGGGAAGTGTTGGTTGGTACCGCATCTACTGCCTTGATGACAGAAGTGACGCCAGATGCCGACCTGACCATCATCTTCGATCTTCACTCGCATTCCGATTTGTCGAGATACGACTATGTGGAATGCATGACGCGATTTTACAACAGCGGCGACAACGTAATCGACCCGCAGTTTGACCGTGCGAGGCATGACCGGGAAGAAACGCGATCCACTTGCGAATATCGGCGAGACCCCCAAGGCTCTCAAGGTGTCCTATGCGTGCAGTTTACGACGCAGCCATGGGCGAGGCGTGTGAGGGAGAACCAAAATCTGATGCACAGAAGCGAGGAAAGTGTCAAAGAATCGCTTCAACACCTGGCAGCAATACAGTACATATATGGTGTTGTTGCTAACACAGGCGAGTTCCGATACCTCACTACAGTTCTTTGGAGGTTCCAGCAGATGAGTGAATCTGCAGAAGTTGGCAACATTGAGTGGCGTTCCGTGAAGTTCGCTGATCATCCGTCAGCTGCAGGAGAAAGACATTGTTATGAGGCGACATTCAAGGCTGAAGATTCGGAAGACACGGAAGATGGTCACAAGCGTACCCCAGCCATACCAACGTCTACACATACAGCTGCGACGCCTTATTACCAAACTACACAACTGCCACTGGACTTGGCACAGACACATATAAGCCACCACTCATACGAGACTGAGCCTCGCCATGCGTACTTGCAACCACCTCTCTCCGTTGATGTTCTCAGATCAATGCAACCAGATTCAGACCACCTCGACACCTCGGTGGCCACCACTACCACCGAGTTCTCTGGCGAAAGCTTTGCACTATCACGTACTTCAGGCATGGCATCGCCGAACACACAAGGCAATGACTTCAACTTCAACGGCGGGCACGTGGGTATCAGAGGCAACTTCGAATCTGGCAACCCCCAGGTATATGGAGGCTTCCTTAGCCAAAGCACTGGACACGAAGGATTGCATACGCTTGCTGGACTGGAGCACGATGAGCTCGCAACCATGGGGCTTGCTGTCGGCGAACATGGACAGCTGATTCCAGTGGATGCAAACAACGATCTGCACTATTCCACAAATGCAGCTTGCTATTCGGCCAAACCCAACTGGCAGCACGCACAACTCGTCTCGCACCTCGAGAACGCAGCAGAACAGTACCGTCCTTACCTCAGCCATGATGGCCATGCTCAGGCAGCAGCAAATCACGGTATTGTCCATGGCCACGACCCATATCAACAAGTCGGTCAAAGACAGGATTCAGTGGCGGCTATCTTCCCCAACGTGAATCACACCTTTTGGGGTTTGCACGGGCTCCAAAGCCCATTCCAAGACGACATGGGTAGTGGTGCCGTTCATGGGACAGAACACTTGTAAGAGCAGACACACGGTCCAGACTACGGTGTGCCGGGTCTAGTTGAGAGAGACCAAAAAGGAAGAGGTTATTAGACCTCGGTCGCCCCCCTTGAGGCCGCTTACGATGAAATGACTTTATGTTGGTTACATATGTATCATGTACATTAGGATTAGGTAGAGTATCGAAAGAGTATAGAGGTCTCACGATAGCGAAATTTGATACCTATCTCGTACGACATGTCTCGACACACTGATCACAAAATGCTCGTGTCCTGCACGTACAACAGCCCTTGGATTTTCCGATCCCTTTGACGCCGCGAAGATACATGAAACATGGCCGACCCACTGACGCATGCATCTGACAGACACACCCGAGCCGCCCAAAACTACACGCTAGCAACGGCAATGGCGTCAGACTCCCGGCCAGGCATTAAACGGTCGATAGGGCGTTCCTTACGCTGCACAGCCGATCAACCTGCATACAAACCTAAAATAGACAAGATATGCATATGTAAAAGCTTTGATCTTCGGTAGGAGCCCAACAAACGCTACACCCGATCCCGCATAACGATCTGTAAGGACATTGTGGCATGCACTGTAGGCGGAATCCATGGAATAAACTACGTAATTGCCAACGGCCGCGGCCACACCCGCAAGGGAAGCGGTGCGCCTCGGGTACCCTGGATGTCATATCAGTCCATGGGCATGTGCATGATCCCTTTTGCTGCACTCAGCCACGATAACAGATGTTGTTTACCTAATGCTATCGCTACACCGCATGTGTGCACCGGCGTCATTACAGCCCAAGGTCCTGCAAGACGCCCAAGGCGCGTCAAGTCGACAAACGCGCTGGCGCGCGGTCACGCTTGCTTGCCCGCATTGAGCGGGGCAAACAGCGAGAAGCTCCACTTTCAAGCGACGACAACAGCAAGTGCTCGGCACGCTACTCGTTCGCGGTTCTTTGCTATGGATACGGCGGGCGAGGATTTGAAGAGATACTTGATTGTTCCTCCACTTTCTTCTTCTTCTTCTTCTTGTTCATTACTTCCGTCTTCAAGCCCGGTTGCTGGTAGTGAGGAAAAACAGATCTCTGTGACGAGCAGCACGGATACGAAATACGAGCAAACAGCTTCCACCAACAACAAGGCTGAGAAGAGAAAGATGGAAGTCGATACACACACTCCCCTACCCACTTCCTTTGGAGGTGCGCATGCAGAAGCTATGGATGCGAGTACACCACTTGACGGCGTGATCAGCATGGACGACTTCATGATCCAGAACAAACACGCGCATGAAGCCCAGAAACTCGTCCAAAAGCCCAAACAAACGACATCTGCTCCTCCCTCAAAGAAAGCCAAAACTCCCAACCAGAAACCCACTCCACTAGTCCCTGTAGCAGTCGGCGCCCGCTCCTCCCGGCACACAATCCTCCTACACGAAAAATACCAAGCCCTCGGTATCCCCCAACCACTCTTCACCTACGGAGGCGGCAGTGAGACCGGATGGACAGTGTCTGTGAGCTTTCCTGGCCTGGATGATACGGAAGAGCTGCAAGGATTGAAGTTCGAGGAAGAGAGGAAGTTCAACAGTAAGCAAGAGGCCAAGGAGGCTATGAGTCAGAAGGCGTTGGGAGTGTTGGAGGAGTTGGAGAAGGAGGGGAGGGTCAAGAAGGGTGGGAAGGGGAAGAAGAAGAAGGGGGGTAATGAGGGTAATGAGGGGGAGGGGAAGGCTGTGGAGAAGGGGAAGGAGGAGAATTATGTTGGGAAGTTACTTGAATTCCAGCGTGCAACCGACTCCCCCCAACCCACATATACGGACTACCAATCCGGCCAACGCTTCTCCTGCATCATCACCATCGACGGCGAAGATCAACGCTTCGGCTCCATCTCCAACCTCTTCTCCTCAAAGAAAGCCGCTCGGCAAGACGCCGCCCGCCACGCTGTCGAGCACTTCAAAACCCTTGGTACCTGGCCCTCGGACGACACCGCCGTCGGCGGCATCCGTAAGAGAAAGAAAGGCCCATCCGTTGACCCAGACACCGTCTCGAGATCATCACTACTAGACAACTCCAGTTCCCCCTCCACACCCCCCATCCAAGCAACAACACCCACCCCCGCGCCCCCAGGCACCCCCTCCTACGCCTCCCGCGTCGCCACCCTCGCCGTTACGCTCGCCCTGCCCACACCAGAATGGAACTACACGCCCCACCCCTCCGACCCTACGTTCCACAGCGTATGTTGTTACTTCAAGGGGGCTGGACAGCACGAAGGACCTATCGGCGAGGTACGCAATATCCACGGGAAGAAGAAGGCGAAGGAGGAGTGTGCGCGGTTGACGCTGGAGTATCTGACTCAGGTTAAGGAGGAGAGGTTGAGGTATGGGATGAGTGTTATGAGGGGGGTGCTAGGCGAGGAAGGGGTGGAGGGGGTGATTGAGGGGGGGTTGGGCAGGGTTGGACTGGGTGAGGGCGAGGGAGCAGAGGTGGGAGAGGGGAAGATGGTTGAGAGTGTGGGTGGGAAGGTGAGGTTGGGGATGGGGCTTGATGGTGTGGATGAGAGGATGGGGGATATGGATGTGGATGTGGGGGAGAGTAGTGAGGATGAGGTGTTTGCTGATGCTATGGAGGGCTAAGGGTTGGTATCCAACTGGAAGGCTTTGGACTTGGATAGAAGATGGCTTGTGCAGGAGTTATGCGGCGGTGTACACCAAGTTGGATAGAGATGCATTGGGCCCGGCCATACACACTGGCGTTCGGCATAGATGAACTTTGCGTCTGACTGTAGCATAAGCCTCTGATGCATACCTGTACAGAATAACAAGACGCAGACCTCATCACATCCACACATTCTGAAGAGGAAACCGAATAAAATGACCAGTAATATTCGCGCATCTCCTTGATACACGTATCTAAACTCCAGGTCTACCTTCACAGGAGAAGACGTGGAGTAGACAGTGCTAATAGTACAGTTGACCCTCCCACCGCGAATAACCTCGCCCCGAGGGCACATTTTGCATGCAAAGTAGCGAAAGCCTGATGCATCATCTCGACACTCTCCGCGACAAGAAAAAAAAGTAGAATATCCATCCGCACCCATTCGCCGTGATAACAAACCCAGCGACAGCGACAGCGACGACAGGGGAATAAATGTACAGGTACAAGGACCATCACTCTTCTCATCTAAGCGACCGTAAAGCCCTTGAACTCGAGCCGCGGAAACTAAAAAGAATGCAAGAAAAAGCCGTCGTTCTAGGACGAAGCAACCTCGCTCTTCCTCTTACTCCGATCGCGCTTCTTCTCCTTACCAGCCTTATCCGCCTTCTCCTTCTCCTGCGCCGCCGCGTTCTCTTTATCGCCTTCCATCTCCGTGTTGCGCGTGCTACGACCGGATTTAGCCTTCTTCTTCGCGGCGCCAGTCTCCTCGGGGGGAGTGGGTTCGTCGTGGGAAGAAGCTGGGGCGGGAGCGATGGGCTGAGGCGCGGATTTCTCCTTCTTCTTCTTGTCTTTCTTTGCGGGGGTTTCGGCGACGGCGGGGGCGGTTGAAGCGGAGGCTTGGGGTGCGGAGCGCGAGGTAGGCAGGGGGACGGGCGTGGACGCTGTGGCGGGCGCGATGGAGACGGGGATTGAGTTGCCGTTTACAGCGGGCGTGGTCTTCTGGCGCTTGCGTGGTGTCTTTGCGGGGGGAGAGGGGGCTTTGACGGGCGCTTCGTCTTCCTCTTCGGAGGAGGCGTCGCTGTCTGCGGCGCCGGCTTCGACTTCGGCTTCGATTTCTGGTTCGCCTTCCTCGGACGCGTCGTCTTCTTCGATTTCGGCGTCTTTGATGCCCTTCTGCTTGACGTATTCGGCCATTTGGACTTTCCATTCTTCCATGGAGTTGCGGTAGGATGCTTTCCATTCCTGTGATTGGGTTAGTGTGATGTCGATTGTCGGGTTTTGTGATTGTGTGCTTACCTCCTTCTCCGCGTCGGAAAGCTCAGCCCAGCGCCTGTTGACCTCGGTCTGTACGGCGGCTGGAGCAAGTGTGCCACCGGGAGCGAGTGCTGCCTCCAGATCGGCCTTGACGATGGGACGCGCGTGTTGGTGGTAGAGGAAAGCAGCAGTGAGGGGCTTCTTGGGCGCATTGGGGTCCTTTTCCTTCTTCTCGCGCTTGCGCTTCTTACTCTTGACGCCGTCAATTGCCTTCTCAGCAGGCGCGCCAACGTCTCCAGCTACGCTGTCCATGAGCTTCTGACCACTCTCTACAACATTCGCAGCGGTCTTGATGGTGCTTGTGATAGCATCGTTCTCGGTTGAGACGTCGTCTTTTTCGATGCCAAGGACTGATGCGCAGTGCTTGTTGTAGTGGTCCATGAGGACGGTGATCTGGTGCTGTACGTTGACGAGACCATTCTGGAGGCTGTGGAGAGAGCCCAGAACCTGCGCGTAATTGTAAGTTTTTGCTTTGTAAAATCACCATGTATCGGGTCGCGTAGATTACGCGATCCATGTTACACAGACGTATCCATATGGCGACGTGATGGTGGCGCGATAATGCGCGCTGACCGCGTGGGTTTGCGACGCGACGACAGAGGTATGCGCGCGTGTCGCAATTGCGATTGGAGACTGCAAAAGGGGAATTGGGTACGTACGTGGTCTCTGGTCCGATTGAATTCTGCAACAGAGATTAGCAATTCGCCGGTGGCGGGCGTCTTCTTCTTGGGGACCATGGTGGGTGGCGTGGTATGGGGGGAGGTTGAAGACGCGTTGACGGGCGGGAGGTTGAAGAGGGAGGGCGCGGGAAGGGCGGAGGAGCGCTGAAATTTCGGGGGGTCGGGGGCATAGCTCCCTTAAGTGACAGCCCAAACACAAGCGAACGTGCCCTGACTTTTGGGCAGTCACCAGCCCATCCGGGGGGCACCAGTAGATTAATGCCCCCAAAATTCAGATCTAGGCTTACTTTTCGCGCCTGCAGCCTGTACAAAAGGCGCGTTTTCAGAATGCATCCAGACAAATTGCACGCGAAAGTTATGCGCAGTCTCTTTTAAGCGTCCACTACCTTTCAGAAGCTATTGCCTACTTTCAGCGCGCATTTCGTCTTCGTCGCGCAGTGCATATCTCTGTTGCAGTGTGTTGTGCAACTTGGGTGGCGTAGGCCGCCTATTAGAGCGAGGGCGCCCATCCGCTGGGCAGAGTGCGCCTGGCAAGTGCCCCCAAGCCGCCCGTGATAAGGCCTCGCTTTGGTGCCACCTCCCCCATCTTTGCGCATGTTTCAGGCGCCGTTTGGCACTGCCTGCCACCACCACGCAACATGTCAATTTGAGTTTTAAAGAAGCCACGACTTTGCGCATGATGCACCATGATGGGATTCCACACAATTTTGCTTTCTTCCACGGTCATATTTGATATCGTTGCTCTATCTATTCCTTGAACCGACCGCCTTCGCTGACGTCAGGGTATACGTCAAATCGCCTTTGTCCATATAGTGGCACTCCCTTCCTGGTCTCTTCAATCTTGCCCGCCTCTAGTTCGCGAATGAGCACACCCTCCTTCTCGTCGAGCTGCTCTAGCACTACCGCATTGGGGTCGACGACCATGCTGTGTCCCCACGCGTTGTATTCAGCCTCCATGTCTCTTGCTGGACTACACAGTCCAACGTAGACCTGATTGTCCGTCGCCCTAGCCCTCGCCAACAACTCCCAATGTAACGCGCCGGTTGTGAGATTGAATGCGCCAGGGTATAATAGCAGGAACGCGCCCTTCCTCGCCGCGATCATTGCGAGCTCGGGGAACCGTATGTCGTAGCAGATGGCTATCGCAATCTTTCCGTATTCGGGAAGGTCGACTAGTGTGATCTTATTGCCTGGCGACAGCACCTCGCTCTCCTTGAACTTGATCTTTCCTGGGATATCGATGTCGAACAAATGCACCTTGCGATGAGTGGCAAGTAGCTCTCCACTCGGCGCAAATGTCAAACTTGTGTTGTACAACTTCTTCGTATCCTTGTCATCTCTCTCCGGTATGCTTCCTCCAACAAGGTATACGCCCGCCTCTTTCGCCAGTTTGCTCAATGCGTGGAAGGTCTGCGATTGCGACTCCGAAGGTGGGGAAGGGAGGAGCGTCTCGGCGTACTTGTCGAAGTACTTTGTTCCGTAGGGCGAATTGAAGCATTCAGGCAGGACTACGAGCTTTGCGCCAGCTTTTGAGGCATCGAGCACCTTTTGGCGCGCCGAAGTGAGGTTTGCGGTCTTATCGGCGCCTGAGGCGAGTTGGATGAGCGCGAGCTTTAGGGACTTTTTGAGGAGGGACGCCATGGTTGGTGCTTGTGTGAGGAACTGGTAAGACTACAAGGGAAATAATCCGGGGAAACTTGAAGCTGAAGTATATACAATGCGATGTTGGAGGTCTGGTTGGAGTGTTGGAGTAGAGTTGGGGTGGGGGTTAGCTCCAGCTGTCTGCACGATGTCATCCTCGGACTTGCCGCCCCGATCATGGCGGGGTGTGCCTGCCGACGCGTTCGACGCGTTCCTTCACTCCTCCACCACACCACACGCCGATATCGTCTACTCCAACAACATTGCGCGAGCACATCACTAGTCGTCACTCAAAGACACTGGCAATGAGATATCTCGCATTCCATCATTGATTTACACCACGTTGGTACAAAGAAGACGATATCCCATTGCTTGATGCCGCCTTTACCATGTCCATGGATCGTTCCTTCCCAACTCTTCGCCCTGGATGTTCGTAGTGGAGCAGGAAAACGCATTGATTATAAAGGTTCCGCTCGGTCAAGCCCGTTCTGTTATCTTACGCTTCATCTATAATGTATCGACGACGACAAAATCCTTGATAGGAAAGATCCCCGGATAGACATTAGGATTTTGGTCCATCGATAAGTCCACAGACGCAGCCCTCTTGGAAATCGTAACGTATCGATAAATCTGTTTCCGTACACTCTCAGGCAAATACAACAAGTTTGGATAATACCATCGCTTTGTGGGGCTAGGCTTGCCTTTTCCCCTGCCAGGCCACAGTGGAAGGTGTTGTTGTGCGTCTCGATGACTACCATGACGGCCAAGCACAACGTACCCAGGAATACTCCAACAGTGAGACGGGTGAGACGGACGATACATGAATGGCTTAGTTAGCACAGAAAGAATCTGCCGAGAGTACTTCTTGAAGTCGTCGGTATCTGCGCGGAGGTACTCGAGTACTGTGTTGACAGTCTTGATGTCAAATAGCTGACGCTGAACAAAGTGCGGATTGTCATCTCTCTCGCCAAGACCCGCGTCAGACTGTACGAATTCGAAATCGACTTTCGCAGCCAAAGGTGACCACATTGCCTTTACGAGCGGAGCAATATTGACGTTCTCGAACCATGGATAATGCTCGAGGCAGGCACTTTCAGAGCATCCATTGGCGACATCGATCGTCACCTTTCGAACATACTGCATCTGGGACCCCGAACACCAGATCGCAGCCGATTGAATCTGCCCAAATCCTTTTGCGACCGCCTTGATCTGTGCAAATCTCTTGGTATGGCCGTCTGGTATCATGCCGAATACGAAAGTGTTGTTGCTGTACAAGACACTTGCGGCCTCGTCATAGATCTGCCGGCAGCTGCGAAGCAAATTGATACCATCGCGGATACTGGCAAACCCAGCCGTATTGACCGGTGTGTATGAATTTGATTTCTTGTCTTCGTCCTGCATACCCGTTTCTTCGTCCTCCGAGCACAGGAATCGGATGTTTTCTTTAGGTTCGAAGATATGAACGTATATCATGGTGCGTATCTCGCCTGGCAAATCGAGGATTGAGCCACCGATGTGGGCTTTGCTGGCTTTCGTCCGTGGGATTTCGATGAATCGGAGCGCCATCTCGGATGCCTGGTCGCTGAGTGTGAGTTGAAAAGTATGCGAGACTGGAATTGACGGAGCTGGTTCTTTAAATACTCGACGGGAGAAAGAAAGAGCGGCAGCCTGATTGACCAAGCATGTGTAGTGCACTGACCTGGAGGCCGTGGTTCCGTACCTTGCCAACGCAGGAACGCTACGACTTAAGGCGCCCATCGCCACTACGGAATGTGCCTGGTGCACAGACATTCAAAAGGTCTCCGTTCATTGCTTCTATATATGAACCGGCTTTTCGATCTCAAACACTTACAGCACCTTTCAGCACTCAACTCTCTTACTCGAGCAAACAACATGGCGCCAAATGACACGCCGAAGCCGATCGCAAAAGGCAACTCTACGAAAGCCAACCCGGATATCCTTTCCTTCCTCGACCTACCAGCCGAAATCCGAAACCAGATATATGGAATCCTCTTTACGAAAGGTGCTGTAGACAGTCAGGCGCATGAGCTGCACAACTGTGATCTCGGGCCTTGGTACTCGCCGTCCACATCTTCGACGAGTATAAGACTATGGAAGATGGGTGACGATCGCGTATCCTTCCAAAAAGACGGTTGCCATATCGATGGTATACAAAGCACGCGTGCACAATTCCTCGGAGGGCGCGCTTTACTCTCAACATGTCGACAGGCCTACCACGAAGCCGTCACAACGTTTCTGAAAAGTAATACCTGGACTATTGCATCCGGATGTTCTTCATCCAGACACCAGATTTGCACACTTTTACAATGCGCAGCAATATTCTTGAGCGCACTTGGTTCTCAATCCGGATTGCTAGAGAGCTTGAATATCGATATGGTGGGGACATGTTCCCCCACGTGTCAAGGCAGTCTTTACCATCGTAATGCTCAGGACCCATACCTCGATCTGTCCACCACTATCAAGTTTAAAGACTTGGTGAAAGAGCTCCACAAGCCTTCCAATAATGCTATCGACGTAGAGATCGTGTTTGGCACTCCGTCCAACTAGGCAGGTTGCTTATCAACTACTCTCGCTAATTCCGGCCTTGACCTCTTTCGCTTGAACAAAATACTCCGACTTCTAGTCCAGGATCCTCTCGGCTTTCTCGAATACGGCCATGCAGTACATGAAATCCTTATTGATAGGGATGGCAGAACAGGAGGCATCTTCTTTGGTCGCTCGTTCATAGACTCGACTCATAAGCAGTACTTCCGCGTTTCCGAAAACGGTGACGCAATAACTCTGATTCCTCCCTCCAAATTGGATCACATACTGAAACTGCCACGAAATATCAGAAGCGAGATAATCAAGCACGTCACACAATGCGGATCTCCACGCTCTTATCGAAAGACTATAACCTTCGACTTGGATAAGGGGACATGTGAGGACGGAAGCACAGCCCTGGCTTCCGTGTGTCGGGAACTTAGAGGGGAGAGTTTCATTCAATTCCAGTTAACCAACAAGTGGATAGCCAAAATGGCTTCCAAGGACAAACGTACCAACTTTGACGACTTTTGCAAACTGGAGAAATTTTGGTGCATTGGCAGATCGGCACAGTTTCCTTGGCGCGGCAGGGAACTATATACACTTCAACACTTCGACTGTTTGCTTGAAGTAGAAGCGGCGACTACTCCTGAGAGTGTCCGTATCAACATTACCGATTTTCTTCGCATCACTTCTACTATAGGAAACAAGAAAGGAAATCTTACCATATCTGCGACACGCGGCCAGGACGTCGCCCCATCGAATACCTCCACATCCTTCGAGGAACTACGCTGGTACGTCCTAATAGCTCTAACAGAGTTCATCCGCAAGCATCCGGATGCCAATCACAGTCCCTGCCCCAACATCTGGATCAATGGCCTCGGCCAAGTTGTTGAAATCGAGAGCGCAGACACGACGATGGATCCTCAAGCGTACACACAGAAGTACACACCCTGGAGCACACATCGCCGTACCATCTTCCGAGAATACGGCCTTTCACTCAAAGGGCATACCTACTGGCACGATACTGATGGCTATACCCCACCTGCCGAGGCTTTCGACGGCTCTGCACGCTTCTATATCGGCTGGCTTCAGCGGTGTGGGCTTGGTGTGAATCCGAAGTACTGGTCTGATGCCTGTGAGTTGTTTTGGGTCTTGTTAGTGACGAGGGAGTATGCTGACTGCTGTAGTTTTCCAGATTCCGGATGCGTAGGATAGGTTGGGAGGTCGCGGGTACAAGCTAGTAGCGCGGCAAGGGTGAATTGGAAGGTGGGGCTCACTGGTTCACAGCCTGTTTGTTGGGAAAACGGTACGATGGCTCCAGGCAAATAGTCTTTCATAAATAACAGGTACTTGGCTGCTGGGTGGCTTGAGGAGGCGGAGGGGAGGTGGTTTAGGTCATCTCTGGCAGCTTGGTGCGAGTGTGAAAGTTCTCAGGGCTGTTGACGGTGGCGAAGGTTGAAAGACAAGAGAACATTCACTTTTTGTCAACGCTGGTATGTGCCCTTCTCCACTCCTATTACGGCTACGGTCGTACATGGTGGCTATTCAGGCTATCCCGTGCGTACTTCGATTCACTCTTACCAGTACTTACGCCTATTAGCTCTTGCTCGTACCGTAGTACATTCATTTACCAACGCGGCAGGCAATACTCTTTCACCAACACTATGTAATTGGGTGCTATTCTGGCCCAAGTCACATTCAAGAGAAAAGGGCTTCACTTCATGCAAGCAAGGTGAATCTATGTCAGGAGGTACGAGCGATCCTGGGGCACAGACGCTGACCTTTCTTCCTTTGTTGTATATAATGACCCGTACAGCCGACTCTCATTCCCTTCAACTCACCCGAACTCAACAGCTATGGCAACACTCCCGCGAACGGAACTAATACCAAAAACCCCAGCCATGCCCGCTGTGGCTGGTGCGAAAACGCTCTTCTCTTTACCTGGAGAAATCCGGAACAAGATCTATAGCTATTTACTTCCGGCCCACGGCGAGATCGAAATACATCAGCTTGTCCGAGACCAGAGGTTTGCTTCCGCGGATACTCGTCCGATACACACCCGACACGCACGTGCACTGAAGCTGCTTCTCACATGCCGGCAAGTCTACCATGAAGCCACGTCCTTATTCCTGTCGAGTAACACGTGGGTTATCTCAAGGGCTGGGTATGACAAGTCAGGGTACCGAGTTACACAAGCAGACGACCTCGCAACTTGGTTGACTATGCTCGGATCCAGTGCGGCCATGGTACAAAAGGTTATTCTCAACTTGGCTGAAAACACCGACAATGGCGGTGACCAACTCAAATGGCGCCTAAAAATTGACTCCAGCAAGGATACAACTGATATGGCTGAGGCTGTCAAGCTAGGCAATCTGCTGAAGTGTCTCTGGGCAACCCCTAATGCGATCCGTAAGATCAAGATTGTCAGCCCCAAAGGAGCAGGCAAAAACTACAAGTACCGGAACAACAATGATTTTAATCCCATGTTCAGCAAGACACATCCGGAGAACAGAGGTAACAAGACACATCCAGTCTTTGACACTAGTGCCATCACAAGCGCGCTCATAGCTCTCCGACGCGACGACCTCGGGCTGAAGAAGTGTGGACGTCAGGTGCACGATGTTCTCATCCGCAGAGATGGTCTAGAAGGGTATATCCAGTTCGACTACAACTACTATAAGCCGTCACACGATCGTCCCAAGGTTGAGAGGACCTACGTTGAGCGGAAGTTCTCCATCACGAACGGCGGCACAACACTGTCACTTCAACCCGCCGACACCCCCGGATTGATGAACCTACCCCAGCACCTCAAGATCCGACTGTTCGAATCGCTTTGTCTCGCTAAAGGATTCCTCGACCCATGGCGAAGTATAGTCACCATTGATCTGGATGAAAAGACCACAGTAGGCGCAACTCCAGTGCTGGAATCGGTATCGCAACATCTGCGATCGGAGTGCTACTACCGCTTCTGGCTGGCCAATATCATCTCAGTCAAGATGCGGAGTACAGACGTGAAGACGGACTTCGACCACTTCGACAAACTACGCGTCTTCTGCTGCACCGCGTCTACTCCGCGTGAGCCCTGGAGGATGAGCAACAGACGTAAAGGCATTCGCGACATGGAGTTTCTACTTCAGTTCAACGTCTCGCCCGCACTCAAGCTCGACGATCTGCGTATCAACGTACTCGACTTCCTACGCGTGACGTCGTACCTCGATAGCCGCGATAGGAAAATCACCTTCCAGATCGGCGATACAAACGACAAGGCTTCTGTCTCGCTGGCCCATCTCCGCACATGCGCACTCATCGCGCTAACCGACTTCCAACAAACCTACAAGCGCACCCGCCCAGACACCAAGCGCTGCCCCAACATCTGGGTAAACGGCTACGGCCGCATCGTGTGCGTTGAAGGGCCAGGAGGGAAATCGATTAATCCATCGGAGGTCATACAGCGTCATGTGTCGCGTGAAAAGGGCGGCGAAGATGTGATTGTAATCAACCGCGAGTTTCGCAAGAAATACGGCGGGAATACTGGAGATGGGGATTCTGCGACACCCCCAGGCCGGTCTTTTGATGGTACATTGGGGTGTTATTTGGGCTATTTGCAAAGTGTGGTGGTGGGGGATGAGGATGCGGGGTATTGGGCGGGGAGATGTAAGTTTTCTGTTTGATCTGGTTGTGAAGAGAGAGGCTGACTGATGTGATTAGATTTTGTTTGCAGTGGATGAACTTTGAATGGGAAGCTTCCGTCGGCGAGTCGAATACTTTGCTCTGGTTATCAAACGCAAGCGCGATAGCGAAGGGGCGCTGACGAAATGTGGCTTTTATCATGGGACTTCTATCACGACTTTATGGGTATCATTGTCGGTTCGATCTAGCAGGTCATGCACGATCTACCGTATTAGCTTTGCTTGGTAAAGAGCTGAATAATGTCAAAACGCATATTCAATCACAGTATTCATGTATGATCGAATTGGGCGATTTACGGAGGCTCTCTTCAATGAACATGCTTGATGAGCCTTTTCAAACACCGTCTCTTTGGCCTCGAGCGAATGCGTATTGAAGTATCAAACAGACCGGATTCACGTAACGCGCTGAACACTCCCGTATATATAGACATTGGGAGTGTTAGCATCGCCGTCACTCTCTCTTTTTCCGTGAACTATCCACAGGATCTGAGCCTCTTCGACCACTCAACCACTGACTACAGTTCTCAGAACCAACCGGCCCCTCTGCAGCCATGGAGCCTGATGAGAGTAGATTTGATAACTTCCGCGTATACTTCGATGAGTTGCCCTATTACCCAGCTATTGCTGAAGGCGGATCTAAGCCTCGCGACCCGACGGCGCCCTCATTCCTCACTACATTTCCCGCTGAAATTCGTAATGCCATCTACGACGCCCTATTCCACGTCTATGGCGGTATCCGGCTATCCCCCTCGGAGAAGTTTATCACGCGATCCACGTTCGAAGACCAAGACGTACGCGCGACTCTGTTGGCGTGCCTTCCTCTCTTGTCCACATGTCGACAGATTTACCAAGAAGCCGCTACAACTCTCTACTCCAACAACATTTGGATCGCGTCTAGGGATATATATCAGACGGACGATAAAAGCGGCAGCGTTCTACACGGAACAATGACAGAAGCTACAGGCGCGGTGGTGTTACTCACAGATCTTGGCTCCCGTCGAGTGATGGTCAAGAAGATCCTCCTCGACGTGGACAGGGCATGCCCTATTCCGTGCGAGACTCATGGTGTTGACCCGTTTTGGCTTGCACCGCACCTTGGACCCGATCATGCAGTCGAGATGTGGACCCTCGTGAGAGCAATGGCGCTATTGCCGCATCTTACAGTCGAGTTTGTGCATCCGAAGCGTCAAGCATACTATGACTTCCACCCTCCCAACGGAGCTTCTGGAACTGGACTCGGCGTTGACATCGACGGTCTCAATACCGCTCTCCAAACGTTGCGGAAAGATGCTATAAATATCGGAAGATACGGGCAGCAAATCAGCGAGGTCTACATTCACCGAGATTGCTCTTCAGGCATTGTCGTGTTTCAGTCGTCCAGACGCGTTGAAATGTGCGATCGTGCTCAACTACGGTTCAATATATCCGATAAGGGTGCAACGTTTGCTTGGGCAAATCTTGAGCGAGAGCCGCATCATCTTTTTGGTCTACCAGAACACATTCAGCGACAGATCGTAAATGAGGCTAGCTCTGTTGGCCGTTCTGACTCCTATGGGAGCGATTCGACGATTGTTTGGGATGTCGATAGGAAGATATCGACCGGAGTCAATCTAATCTGTGGCGCAATATGCAACAAGTTGCGGTATGACTTTATGACCATGCTCAGATGCTACAGGCGGAACATCATCAAAATGTCCACTAGTAAACTTCGCTCGGATTTTGACGAGTTCAGAACCCTCCAGGAGTCCTGGAGCGAGGATAGCTACTTCAATTCTCCTTTGGGTAGACCCTCTGATCCTTACCCAGTAAGCCTTCTTCTGGAATTCCATGTACACCCTGACGTTACTATGGAAGATACCAAGTTAAACATCACCAAACTATTACAACTTACGGCAGAGTGCAGAGGTCGCATGGAGATCACGATTTCCATCAATAGAGGGGAAGCCTTCCCCAGCTCCGAGACCACCACGAACCTGTATATGTGCCGGGACCTAGCTCTCTCCGCACTATCAGATGCAGGTCCGGGCAAGTGGATGGTGTGCGAAGGGTTCTCTCAGGATAATCATCATCCACCAATATGGATGAATGGCCGCTTTGAAGTTGTCGAAGTCGATCTGACAGATGGTAAGTTCCACTCATGAACAGCTTTTGTGTTATACTAAATTGTTCCACCAGGTTGAAAGACGCGATGGCGTTTTGCGAATGGAGATCGCTTCCAGGGTGACGTCTAGAGTGGCTTGTGTAATTTTAGGGCTCCACGGAGGGGAAATGACAAGTGCGTTGCAGGACGAACGCGGCAATCGCAAGAAGCGATAGTGGAAGCGGGATGTAAGGTATGAATCAACAGGATGACGAAGTTGAAGAATTCAAATAATGTATTTCAAGTTCGGTGCATTGGCACATCTCAAGCTGTGTCATCGTGAGACTTGTTTGGGACTATATCCTCCGTGACGCGAACCTCGTGGCTGCCCTCCAGTTCCGATAGCACGATCCAGGTAGGGAAGACGCACAGCACCGTGAT